AATTTGTATAAAAATAGTTACGTTCAGGATTCTAAGATAAATAAACCATCAGGTTATTTATTGATGTCTGTCATACATTCGAAAAAACAAACTAGAATTTTTTGATTTAATGATAAAAGTATGAAAGTATTGAAAACAGTAGATTATATTTGTAGGCACAAAAATTAGGCACAAATAATGAAGTTCCAGTGGAAAAACAAAATGAAACAATAAATATTACTGAATCTTCAGGTGATAATGAAGAAAAAGATAAAGATGAGAAGGTAAAAATAATTAATTTCATTCAAAAAAAAAAAGAAAGAAAAATTCATATTCATAGAAAGAAGATGAAGATGAAAATGAAGAAGATAAAGGTAAAGAAAAACCAAATGCTGGTAATGGCTGGACTGGACCAAATTATTCATGGACACAAACACTTGAAGAAATTGATGTAAGTTGGTTTTTCTTTTCTATTTGAATAATTATATATTTTTTCTATGAAATTAGTTACGTGTTCCAATTAAACTTAATATTCGTATAAAATCTAAAGATGTTATTGTTAAATTCGAACGCAAGGTATGATTATTTTATTTTATTTTTTTTGTTTAATGTTTATATTTCGAATGACAATCGTTTTATATAGCATTTATTTGTTGGTCTTCGTGGTCATCCACCAATTATTGATGGAGAAACATTTGCTGAATTAAAAAAAGAAGAATCTATGTGGACATTAGATGATGGAAAAGCTATTCATATTGTTATTGAAAAAGTATCTATGTTTTTTTTTATATTTGTTAATAGATTTATTTTAATTAATATTAAGGTTAATAAAATGGAATGGTGGAGTCGTATAGTAAAATCCGATCCAGAAATAAATACACGTAAAGTTCAACCTGAAAATTCAAAAGTAAATTTTTTTTTTTTTTTAAATAAATTTTTTATTTATTTAATAAAATTTTTATTAAATTTAGTTATCAGATTTGGATGGTGAAACTCGAGGTATGGTTGAAAAAATGATGTATGATCAACATCGACGTGAAGCTGGTTTACCTACTTCTGATGAACAAAAGAAACAAGATATGCTTAAAAAGTAAATTATTATTATTATTATTTTTATTTTTATAGAAAACAAAAATAAGAAGTATAAATCTTCTATTTCATTTTGTTTATTAGATTTATGGATGCTCATCCAGAAATGGATTTTAGTAAATGCAAGTAAGTTTATTGCTGATAAAAAAAATTTTTTTCCATTATTATTATTATTATTAGATTCAATTGAACAATCTTCATTTGTTTTTATCACATAAACCAAGAATGATTTAATAAACTGTGATTAGTTGCATTCTATATTGGTATCGTTTTCTTCATTTTAAATAAAAATGAACACAGAAAAAAAAAAGTCCATTGATATCACAGTCATTATCCTAATGATTTTCTTCATGCATTAAAAAATCGAATGTTTTTAATTGAAATGCCTGATCTACGATAAAAGATTTAGATCAATATTCGATAATGATATGTATTCGATAATATATTTAATTACTAGATATTATTCGCAACCGATAGATTCTAATCATAGCTTGATAGTCAACGAATTTCATATGATTTTAGAGTCAACTATTGAGTATAAAACTTAAAATTTTCAAAATTTGCCTGTATATTTTACGATTATGATTATGATAATGCACCATCAAAATTTAATTATATCGACAATTAAACAAATTTGAATTTTGTGACAAATTGAGCAAGGAAGTTAATGAACTTCAGGAGATTTATGCATACACTAGATGTTTCACTGAAACATTCAGAAGTTTTTGATCAATAGTCGAATTCTGTCATTCTGAAAATAATATCAATCGAAAGCAAAATATAAATTTGTTCATCAAAATAAAATAGATTAAAAAATATGATATTTTTAAAGGTTAATCATTACATATTATCTATCTATTTCCGTTTTAATCATATGATTATGTATATCATGTAACCTTTGACGATAGATTGCTGTTGCTTTCTGATAATTTGACAATGCATCAATCATATTTACACTCCAGATCGATGATTCGAAGTTTAGAAAACAACCTGAATTATTTGAAGCAAATATCATGTTGATATAAAATGCAATAAATATTTTATTGAAACTTGATTTCATTATAGAATAATAGAATATAAATAAATAATATAATTTTGTTTTAATTTGAATTGTTTCGATGCTTTTTCAAAGATGCATTTTGTCATAAATAATAAAGTTTTTTTTCAAGTACATATTTTTAACGGATCTGAATTGTATGTAAATAAGCAATATATACCTTACTTTTTAATTATTTTCTGAATATATATCGAAAAAATACAACAAACTTTCAAATGAGATTCAAAAGAAATTATTGAAATATGCGATGTTTTTTTTTATTTTTTCATCAAAAACAAAAAAATTGTTCAATATTATTTGAATTTCTTTTCGATAAGCTTTTTGTTGAAAATTTCTATTATTCAAATGCAATTTAAATTCTTTTTATCTTCTCACAACTAAAGCATTGTTCTCAACATTTATTCGACAGGTATTGTCAAATCGATACTAGACTAATGTATATTGGCAAGTGATAAAGATAATCAGTTAAATAAATCATCATCTACATTCACCAGTCATAGATTCGAAGAAGCGTATGAGAGTGGACATCCTCTATCTCCCGAAGTCCTCATCAGCTTTTTCGAACAAAAATCTAGTTTAAATAGACTTTAGAAAACGATTTTACAGTATGATTCTTCTTCTTGTCTGCTGAAATATGCACATCCACTTGATATCTTGGATTTCTAGGTAATATTCATAAATTATAAAAAAGAAACTATATGCATAGGAACAACATTCTATTTAGTGAGTTTATCTATAAAACGTAAACATTGTTTTCATTGAGACATTCTATTTTGTTTGTTGATGAGTTACGATATGTCTTGAATGCAATAGAAAATGTTCGACTAAATACTGAGATCAATAGTATAGAACTGACGTTAAATAGAATTCGTTAATTTTAGAAATCATGTCTGACATAAGTCTTTTTTTATATTATCTTAACTAAAGTCTTCTTAACGGTTAGAATAAAATCAGCTTAAAATAAAGTTTTTCTGTCTAGAAATAGATCGATCTCATCTATTTCATTTAATTTTTTGTGAAAGCTTTAATTAGTCACTAGATTTTCCACCTAAACAATAGAACTATACAGCTTGATTACGCTATTTTTGATACTTTTGTGTCGTTTGTTGTTTATATACCAAACATTTCAGATTTTTTTATTTTGATATAGTCGGATAGAGCATATATATAAGTTTGTCAAATTATATAGTTTTTATTTTATATCTTATTCAAAAATTTGATAAAGTCCGAGAAACACTGAAATGGAACTTTTGCACACTCATAATTCAGCAACAGTTACCTGAATAATAATGAAAATCGCTTTGGACGGAAGAGGTCCATCAGACTTTCTTGTAGAAAAAAATTAAGCAAAAAAAAGACTTGAAATATAGAAGAAAAGTGACCTGGATTGTTAAATTTTGGTCCATTCTTCGCACCAATGAAAAATTAAGTTTGCATTATTCTTCGTAAAAATTCACTTGGAAGACTCACCGTAAATCTGATCAAAACTATGTAAATCGATAGAGAAATTAACGCTCTATTTAGATATATATCAAAGAAAAGAAGACTAGACATTTAAAGAATCGAAATTTCTCTTAAAAAAAACCTTCACAAAAACGTTTCTGAGAAATTCATGAAGTTTATAGTAGAAATATGGAATAAGCCCACGAAAAAGATATACATTTCGATACAACAATGAATAAGCTATTATTCTATATAAAAATAAAAAGCTTCAGTAATCTAATAAATAGTAGTGGATCTGAACAATTTTCTCAGAAATTATCTTAAATTTACCAGGTAAAAAAAATCTTTTTGACTGCTTTTCAAGATTTATCATCTTTTTGGACTAGAACTAAAGGAAATAAAATGTAAACGATAATTTTCGAAAGAGTAATTGATGCTCTATCCAACTGTATCAAATTTTTTAAAAAAATCTGCGATATTTTGTATAAATACAGCAAACTACTAGTTATCACTGAAAAAATTTTCGGAAATTCGGGTTTCGGTTCGGTTCTCGGTTCCATTTTTTGTGGAACTGCAGATCTCTAGAATTCGTGCATACTGTACGATTATTGTTTTATCATCGAAAGAAAATTTTTCATGCGAATGAGAGCATTATCATGGATAGAATTGAAATCTTTATTCTATCAAAACAATTTATTTGCATGGTTTTGTATTTTATTTTGAGAGAGCCCATTTACAAAATTTACAAGATTTCTTTGAAAACAATATTTTTAGTTTTTCTTCTCTTATTCGTTTGTTCTTCGTTGATGACTTGTATCTTGGTAGCTTTTAGGGAGTGAGCCCGTGAAAAAACAACGTATAGTTGTTCATGGCTGAAAACTGATTGTGGTAAAAGTAGTCCTAGTCGATCAAAGGCTTGTTCTTGTGCTTTGTTAATGGTCATAGCAAATGAGAGTCGAATAGGAAATTGATATCTACGTAAATGGAAGGGCAAAACTGCATCAGACTGTATCAAAGTAATTCTTGGTTTGAAAACTTGATTTTCGTTGTTAGATCCAGTTGCCACCTCAAAATTTCTGTATGATGACCACGGCGGTTCTGCCGCAACTTGTGACAACTACGGATAAAGTTAAATATTCTCTGTAGCCTGACAACCTAAGTTGACGAGAAACGATAACTGTTCTCATCTATTCATGCTTCAGTGATATTGATACATTGGAGTCGATATCCTTTGTCTTGAATACTGGAATATTCTTCAAAGGATCTGTTCTAACATTTGAATATAAAGTGATGTATTTATAATACACTTGAAAAGAAATATTCAAGACGGTTTATTAATATAGTTCATTTGTGTGAAGTGAAATTTATGAATTATAACATTGAGTAAGCAAGCAGTAAGACAGAAAGCAAAGCAAAAAATTTTCAAAACCTTTTAAGATGCGTATGCATCATCAATGTCAAAGTAAATATCATCACACCAATTAGATTCAATAGTGCTTGTTGGAGCAAATTGAACCCAAACAGTAACTAGATATGAGGACAAACTTGCATCTTGCCAACGAAGCGAGCCGATCGATGAATCTTGTCATGAAAAAAATGTCAATACAAGAAATAGTTGCCAATAGAAACTTACTCAGTATACGTTTTGCTGCATTGATTTGATTACCCCATTGAAGTCCAATTGACGTTGTATTTCCATAGCGAGCGGTTAGCATAAGTGCAGCTCGTCTTTCGGAGAATAAATGAGAGAATTTACTGCCTTTACTGCTAGCGAAATTAAATCTTTGCACGAGGTAAGCACCAAATGTCGAATTTGTGGCAAAAATACAATTAGTACCATTATTGAAGACGAAAACGCTGCCATTTTCGACTATCCAGTGTCGTTCAAGAGATGTCTGACAATCGACGTTTCCATTGGAAATAATATTGAGATTTTCAAGATAAGATGTCATTGATAGTCGAGCACCACGTATAAAGGCCATAGGACCAATAAGAATTGGGCTGATTTGAGTATTTCTCAAATCAGCCAATGAGAAATTTGCTCCAAAAAAATTTGCATCAGAAAGTTTTGCATTGGTAAGATCTGCTTGAACGAAGGAAGCCATGGTCAAAGTCGCACCCAACAGTTCTGCGCGATACACTGAAGATCTCGAAAAATTAGCTCCATGTGCCGTGACATTGTTTAAAATAGTTTCAATCAGACGTGCTCGAAAAAATATAGCCTTCTCTGCTCGCATTGACGTGCAAATTGCACTATGCATCTCTGCATACGAGAAATCTGCATCATTTGCATTAATTCCAGACAAATTTGCAACTTTGAATATACCTCTAGAAAAATTACTCTTTTGTAACGATGCATGAGACAAATCTGCAGACTCTGCTACTGCTAACACAAAATTGGATCGATCCAATTGACAACGACTCAACACGGCGCCGTTTTCTGCTGTAAAAAAGTTCCCATCGTTCAATGTTGTTTTCTCGCAACGAATATGCGGACATCTGCTCGCAACGAAATTTGAAGAATCCATTTTACTATCGCGTAGGATCACGCCAAGTAGTATGCTATGGTCAAATAGATTTTCTTTCATCTCGGAATTGGTTATATGTACTTCGATTAAGTGAGCATGACTCCAGTTTACATGTTGTGCATTTGTGTCATTTAGTACAACTTTGTTCAGCATCGACTCCGAGAACTGAGCAAAGTTAAGTATCGCCTTGGAAAAAGAACCTGAATAGATAGATATTCGGTTAAAGTTGGCGGCAGTTAAGTCACAGTCGATGAACGAGACGTTCTGAAAATGAACACCAGATAGAGATATATTACGCCACGAAAATTTAGTACTCGAACAACTAAAATCGATATTGCTGAATGTAGCAGTAGACAGATCGAGAGAATTCGTGCCCATCAATTGACCAGCCTCGTATAAGAACTGGAGAAGTTGAAAATTATGAACGGCACTCAGTTGACGAATAACAGTCAATGTTTTGGTTCGAGTAAGTGTAGCTATTAGTGGATCATGTGTCAACGATCCATTGTACTCTCGTAAGAGTTGTCCAACTTCTTTGATATACTCAGTGAGTATGCCATCCCAATAACGCTTTTGTTCAATTTCGAGTTCATGAGCACGTTATCGTTCACTATTACGATGTTGCTCTTGCGTCAAATTCTTTTCTTGATCTAGTTTTGCTTGAGCTATCTTGAGATCTTGTAAGCGTTGTATACGCTGTTCTTCTCGCTGAATTTCGGATATATTCAGGTCTTGTTCACGCCGTCGTTGGTCTTCTTCGCGTTGCTGGCGTGCGAGAGCCAAATCTTGTTCTCGTTGAAGTCGCGCATCTACTTTGTCTTGTGCACGCTGAAGGCTTGAAAGGTTCAGATCTTGTTCGCGTTGTTCACGAGCTAGTTGACGATCTTCGAGTCGTTGTTGTTTACTCACATTTTGTTGATGAAAAGTGATTACTACTGTAAAAATACCCAACATTAATGGAAGGAAAAATGATGACATCAACTGCATTGTATGCTTCATCCCTCGTTTTCGATTGTGTCTGGTTCGACGAGATTTTTTTTATCCTCAGAGTTTTCATTATGACTGGGCTCTGATTTAGTCATAGAGTCTTCGTTATCACTAGGCTTCATTTAATCGAGTTAGCAAAAATTAATCTGGCATAGAGCGTCTGTTGTCATAGTGTGATCGGACCCGTTTTTTTTTGAATGCATGATTCTTTTTTATAGTCAATAAAAATGTCAGTACTGGCAACAGATTATTATTCAAATAGAAACTTTTACTGTAATGTCGTTTCTGGATATAAACACATCATTTGTCACAAACAAATTTCATTTTTTTTTGTCGGTATCACGCAATAAATTACTCGAGGAACCTCAGTTCAAGAAAATGAGAATACGAGTGAGAGTGAGATGCGACAAACTGCCATAATAAAGCAAATGAGAATTCAGATGTAGAGTCAAGCGGTTCTAATACATGTGAAGCTATAGTAATTTTTAATATGCATTTATGTTGCAATGGTCTAGAAAGCTTTAAGGATACGTGTTATTGATGCGACGAAATGATGAGTTCTTCTTTATTTGACGGCTTTTTGTATATGAGTTGGATTAGTCTTTATTTTATATGTGTTGTGATAGATATTTTCGTTATGATACAGGTGAAGAGTTTGAGGTTGTGTTTTTACCCCGTTATAATTTAGTTCATGTTCTTATCTAGTTTTGATAATTTATATAGGTATAATATGTTTTTGGTGTTGTTCAATTTTGAATGATAGAATACTGGAATATATGCAATTTAATAATGCGGTTTTTTCCTCTTGGTGAGCATGATATTGGAATCATTAACCCATTTAATTATAATAGAGTCTTTGAATAGTATGATTAATGAAAATACTGTCTAGAATAAGAAAGATGATGTTTAATTAATTCTAACATCAGAAGAAAAAGTTCATGTTGATCTGCATGAAGATCAATCAAATTCTAATTGGCTCTTGCCATTGAAGTTCACTAAGTTCTATTTCGAAGTAAAAATATGAGTTCAATCAGTTAAGATTTCGACAGCTTTGAACTAATAGCAGATCTTTTTGCAACTATTCATCGATTGAATATAATTATATCCTCACTGTGTTTGAGGTGAATCAATTTTTAAAAAAAAAGCTTGTTAGCGCAGCCCCTTTGGGGCTGAAATGTGGAACTCACATATCTTCTTTACTTTCACTCTGCTGATGGCAACATATATAATATTTAAATTCTCTCAGAGACGATAATTCTTTTCTAATGATAATTGATTGTTAGGAAATGCTGTCGTTTTTCATTTATATACTTCGAGTAGAATCTTTTTTTTGTGAAGTTGCTATGGTCTGTAAGGGGGAACTGTCTGTAGTGAGAGGGAGGGGGTATGTATGTAATGTTCTTTTTCGTTGCTATGTGTCTGTAATGGGGGTATCCATGTAATGTTCTTTTTGGTTGCTATGTGTCTGTAATGGGGGGAGGGGGGGGGGGTATCCATGTAATATTCTTTTTCGTTGCTATGTGTCTGTAATCGGGAGGGGGAGCCGCAAAAACTTGACCTTAAAACTTACACTCGCTATTTTCTTCGAAAATATATGTGAGTTCCACAAAAGTAAAAGAATATAATGAAGGATCTATATTTAAAAATTTCAATCAACTAATTCTATTTAAAGTTATTCTTATGATGATCTATTTCCATATTTATGTAGCCATTTAAGTTCTTCTTGCACTTTAATTTTTTGACGTCAACGATTGTTACTTAATAAATGTCCTTCATTTGGAAGAATAAGTAGTTGTACTGGCATACCTCTATAATAAAGTCCCCGTTCTAGTATATAACTTTGACTTGCAAGGACTCGTACATCAATATGATCAGTAACGATAGGTGTAGGTGTTTGTACTTTATCTAATTGATAAATAGGTGATTCTTCTTGATATAAATATGGTGCATTCCATGGGAATCTTCCAAATAAATTCTCTATAAGTATAGGCATATCCAAAGTACCCATGTAGAAGTATAATCAATTGCACCAGCACCAGACAAAGCAACATTAAAACGATTAGTTTGTGTAATTAACCAATTCGTTAAAAAACCCTTCATAGCTACCGGGTGAGTCAAAATGATTGCAACATTCATTTTTTTAAAATATCTCAGCACAGATACATCCTATTGTGACGGATTCCATCCATCACCACCTCTTACGTTCGTGATCGGGGACGTCCGCCGGGCGCGGGCATTATGTTGATGCTGATCCTTATTTCTTTCTCGCTTCTGCCGTAGTATGTTCTCTCTCTCTCTTTCTGTTCTGTTTTGTCTTTTTTCTGTTTCGTTTTGCATGCATTGCATTCATTCTTGAAATGAAGAGTGAACGAGCCAGTCGTTCGGTCACACGTGGCGATCACACCAAGATACCTTTGAATCAATCTCGTTGTTTTTCTTTTATTGTTCAATTTTTTTTGGTCTTTTTTTGTATTTGCATTACTATTTATCCCACCATTTTTGGTTCTAATTGGCATCATCACTGAGTCTGACGGTCAGAAATTACAAGAGTATCTTCAAGATCTCCGTGATGGACTCACCAAAGAAATAGATCGTACGATGAAACTTGGGTCCACCCTGAATACCATCCAGTCTACCGTTACTCAACTTGAAACAAACCTTAGTGATCAAGTAAATAACCTTTCCAGTACTCATGAACTTAAGCATCAGCAATTGGATAATATGATTCACTGTGTCGATACCCAGGTACAGGACCTCCATCAGGTTGTCTCGAGTCAAATTTCTGACTTAACAGTTGAACTTCGTGCAGCCCTCGCTGCGATTCGTCTTTCATCCGCTGTCCCCTCTGTTCCTGTACGATCACCTTATTCACCTTTCAACAACATTCTACACCCTCGATCACTTTTAGATGTTTCCTCAGCTCATGATGCATCACTTCCTCCCCATCCCCGACAAACCGTTATCATTCAACTACCGACGTCAGCTCCTTCCTTTTCCGATAAATCTGATGAAAAACCACGTCCCTTCCTCCTACAACTTCACCAATATACGAGCTCCTCGTATGGTTGGGATAAAGAAATGTTATTCCAAAATATGGGACAATTCTTGAAATGAACAGCACTCGAGTGGTACACTCAAATTGCAACTAGTACAAGTCCTCCTACTCAGTGGGATACATTTGAAACTTTCTTCTTACAACAGTTCAGTACACCGTTACGAGTTGCTCAGATCGAACAAGAGTGGAAGAAATGTACTCAGAAATCTGACGAACCAATCAATGAATTTCTTGTACGATTACGTAGTCTCTGGTCCGAACATAAACCACGAGAAACAGAACGAGACCTTGTTCGACATCTTTTTACGAAAATTTCGACCTGAACTTGTTCCCTTAATTGGCGTACTTAGCGATCCTACTCTGGAAAACTTTATGGAACGAGTTCGTGAAGCCGAAGTTATTGAATATTCCCGTTTAATTAAAATTGCGCAAGAGAATTGATGACATCGTATGAGCAGTTAATCTCTTGGATCCCGCTGTCTTCAGAGTGACGACAAGTGGAAGGCCAGAAGTCGATTTTTTTGGTTCTGTCGTATCGATAAACAGCTGCGAGATGAAATGTTCATCAATACGATTGTATCAATCCACGTTTCATATACGACAAAATATACACGTATATAGCCGATTCACGATGATAGAATGTGAGAGGGAAATTTTTCGATTTTTTTTCCTTATCATGTATTATAAAATGATGAAGATTTAAAAACAAAATTCTCTATATTATTTGTTTTCAAGAGTAAATGGATTATTTCGTTGATATAATACAAATGTATCAAATGCCAGTGATTATAAAGATTATTTATATTCGTTTAAATTAAAAATGGGTGTGGGTGTGGGTGTGGGCGAGAGTGAGGATGTGGGTGTGGGTGTTGGTCGGTGTGGGTGTGAGTAGTGTGGGTGTGGGTGTGGGTGAGGGTGTGGGTGTGGGTGTTGGTCAGTGTGGCTGTGGCTGTGGGTGTGGGTTGGTGTTGGTGTGGATGTGGATGTGGATATCTCTTTTAGAAGACTTTCACCCACACTCACAGCCGGAGTCACACCCACACCCTTCAAGTGATTTTTATCTCTGTTATTCATTGCTGTAAATAGACCTGTGTCTTGATCAAACTTTTAATTATGTATCAACAAATGAAATTGGACGTTATGTACAAATCATGTAGAATTGAAAAGCCAATGCATAGAAATTCTTCGAGAAGAATCTCAAAGACGAACAAATTACTGTGCCCACATTTTGCGCGAATTCTAAGATATCGCTTATTAAAATAATCTCTTCTACGAATTATAAGCAGTGCATACAATAGATCTGCAGAGCAAAATGTTCGCGAAGAAGCAAAAATTTAGTAAAAACCTTCAAATGCTGCCATCTGCTTGGGTGTCTCATGTGACAGAACAAAAAAAAACATTTTTCTTCCAACCAGTGCAACCGATCATGACTCAATGAGACATGACTGCTGTAGATGAAAAATTTGCAAAAAATGAATCATAGAACTTTCATCATAGATATATTTTTGCACTGACAGTGAATTCTATCCTCATTTG